GATTCAAGAGTGCCATCTAGTGACCACATGGGCACTTCACAAATTCAAAGGCATTCCCTCAAGTTGAAACAGAAAATAATTAAGAGTTTAGAGCAGCCACTATGGGAAACAGTATGGAGATTCCTCAAAAAACTAGAAACACGCTTACCATATGATCCAGCAATCCCACTCCTGGGCATGTATCCAGAGGGAACTCTAATTCAAAAAGACACCTGCACCGCAACGTTCACAGCAGCACTATTTACAACAGCCAACACATGGAAACAACCTAACTGTCCATCGACAGATGGCGTCGTTTCTTTTCTATGTCCGTGAGCCTGTTCTGGGTTTGTAAATGGAGTTTGTTATCGCTTTCTCAGAGTCCACATATAAGTAATATTATAGGATATTTGTCTTTCTCTGTCTGACTTACTTCACTTAATATGATCATCTCTAGGTTCATCCTCTTTCTCTTCACCTGATGCCAAATATCCCATCACTTCAGGACCCCTGCTGACCTCACCCCATCCCTCTTAAATGGGATGGAAGGGGAGTGGAGGGGGCAGGAGACAAGGGAAGGGAGGCTCGTGATTCATGTGAGAGATGGAGGCACTTGGAAAACCCCCCAAAACACTGGCATCTTCTAACCCCTGCCTCAAACGCCTGTGCAGGGAGATTCCATACAATGTAAAGAGAGCTGGGCCTGTGAGATCTCAGGCAGCCGCAGTCACGCTGAGAATCGGTGCGGAGGGGACCCTGTGGAGATGTCTGCTGGGAAATCCACCTCACCTCTCTCATCCCAGCTGCAGGGGTAGGTTTAGGAATCCTGACGAGCTACAAGAGAGGGGATCGACCTAAGCCCCCCAAACCACCGTGCCCTGAATTCCTTTCTCTGACCGAGTCAGGCTTTCCACTGTGGGTTTCCGTGACAACCAGGACATTCCATCCTCTTAGAGACACCATCTTTTATCCGCTTGTATGATATTCCGGGGGAAAGGCGAAATCACAGAGATGGCAACCAAACTGGTTACAGACAAGGGTTAGGGGAAGAGGCCGGAGGGAAACGAGGGAGGTTCTGCAGCGGAGGAAACACTCTGTATCTTGATTGTGGCCCTGGTGGTGTTATGCACATGTCAGTACTCACAAATCAGGACACCCAACAAAGTCACATTTTTACAAAGCGTTGTTTCAATAGTGGCAGCCATTAAAAATATGTTATGTTGTAGAAGACGTCTTAATGACCACTCCCCAAAAAAGTTCCTGTTACGTGTTGCTAAATTTAAAAAAGCAAGATTGCCAATCCCTATACACAGTGCGATCTCCTTACATGTCTACAATATGCATCTGTAAGGGGATACACCCATGGTTCCCAAACGGTGCGCCGAGGCGCCCTGGCTATCCTCAACTTGACGGACGTACAGCGATATTCGACATCTGTCTGACACCACGTGAACTACCATCTCAGTGGATTTCAACATCAGCCCTCTCTACATTCCTTTCCCTGACATCAGACCTTTGTGCAGTAGTCGCTGCAAAGAGAAGCAAGTGGCACAGGAAAATCACACGGAACAGGAAGAGGGAGGGGGCACTGTCCAGTCTGACTCCCGGGTCTGAGAAGTTGTGCAGTGCCCAACATGCACACACATCCCACTCCTAAGTAACTATCATGGTTTAAGAATGAAATAAAATCACTCTAAGCTGCACGACCCCTCCAACACCCCGACCTTTCTAGGTCCTGAACTCCCCTCCCGTGACCTCGTCCTGTGAACTATCTGCTCTCAGGTCACCCCCTAGACCTTGACAAGCCCCTCCCTCTAAAACTAGATGCCCCAAATCCTTTGGCCCCACTTGTGCCCAAAACACACTGGTCCTTCCACTTTTCTACTCGTCTTCCCCACCCTCTTATCTCACCTCCCTTCATCACTGGTTTAAACCCACGGCTGACCGATATACGCAATGCCTCGTGTACACCCAGGTCTCCTAGTCACTTTTTTCTCTTGGACAAATCCAATCATGCTTCAGAAGAGCCTCCCCTGGTCTCTCATCCAAGCAGCAGAGCGTGGCTGTGGCAAAACCCCTCCCTCACTGCTATCGGTTGAATTGTGCCCACATCAAAAGGGGTATGTTGGAATCCTAACACCCAGTTCCTGTGAAGGCAACCTTCTGTGCGTGCCTGTCTCTGTATCCAGATTTCCCCTTTTTACAAGGACACCAGCCCTATTGGATTAGGATCCACCCTAATGACCTAACTTTAACTTGACTTCCTCTGTAAAGCCCCTACTTCCACATAACATTCTGAGATACTGAGCATTAGGACTTGAAAATATCACTGGGGGGGTTGGGGGAAGAGATGTGAGGGAGACACAGTTCAACCCACAACAGGTAAATATAGCTTTATAACAAAAACAGTTTAAAAACCACATTTATATCCAGAGGAAACCAATTCAAAAAGACACATGCACCCCAGTGTTCACAGCACCACTATTTACAACAGCCAACACATGGAAGCAACCTAAATGCCCATCGACAGATGACTGGATAAAGAAGATATGGTATGAATGATCAATAGGCACATGAAAAAATGTTCAATATCACTAATTATCAGAGAAATGCAAATCAAAACTACAATGAGGTATCACCTCACATCA